GCTCGCTGGAGAAGAAGAGGATGAAGGAGGAGTTGGTCTGGGTTGTGAGGGTTGTATCAAGCAGCGAAAGCAGCAGTTTCGGCTGCTATGGAGTCGTGCAGGGCTGTTGTTGCATGAACAGGAAGACGGGATCGAGCGGTCAAGGAGGCAGGCCGAACGACTTCTGTCGGATGAGGAAGAGACGAAGCTTCGACGGGGAGGGAAGTGAGCTTCCTGTCGAGCGGAATCGAGCCGAGCAGGAGCTTCGCTTTGGAGCGTGAGGCGAGCGAGGGCTTCTTGAGAGAGGAAGAAGGAGCGGGAGAGTTTCTTCATCGCAGGGAGGAGGCAAGGTCGAGCGGGAGTAGCAGAGGGCTTTGGTGTGGGGAAGATGCGAGAGGAAGAAAAAAACGGGTAGGGAGGGAGCGAGTGCGGGATCGGGAAGGGAGCGAGTGAGGGAGAGATCGAGATCGGGAAGGGAGCGAGTGCGGGATCGAGAAGGGGGCGTGCGGGAGATGATCGAATCGGGAATCTTTTGTCGTAGGGAGGAAAGAGGAGACGAGGCAGGTGAAGGTCTCGGTGCAGAGGGAGAGCTCGGAATCTCGTTCTGAGGAAGGAGGAGGCTGAATGCATTTAGTGGGATCTTGTATCCGGGGAATTGCAGAGAAACGTTACAAGATATTGGCGCGCGGAATTAATGAATTTCCAATGGGGGAGGAGTTTTATTTAGCATATAAGAGCTCCTAATTAAATTTCATTAAGACTGATTAAATAATTCATTTGAAATTTGAAATTTGAAATCGTTTAGCCTGAGTCCAACCTGAATCGAACCCGTCGAACCTGGGTTGAGCCTGGGCCCAAATACAGCTAATAAAAAAGTGCATCGACATTTGTGCTAGTCGCTCACGCGCGAAACCAAAATGATATGGGCGTCCTTCCTAGCCAAAGTTGACGTTCCGGACGCGTCGGTGTGATCCGTTTCGTCATCCGTGGTCATCCGGACGAGTTCGCTGACAGGCGAGTCGATTTAAGTCAAAATCGTGTGTGGTGCAGCGAGTGTATTGCCGAGTCACCGAGGGTTCACCTAAAGTCGTACGATCCTGTAGAAACTTATTTTCGGGTCCTCTACATGTTGGTCCTTAGCCTTTGCAAGTAGAAGTTGAGTGCTTGGAATCACTCACGCGAGTTCTTCACAAAAATGATTCAAGAAACGGTTTGAAGTTCTACGAGAAGGGGACTCCCTTACTAATCTGCTAAGATGGTCAACAAGGAACTCCTAAAGTTAGATTTTGGGTTATGGGAGTAAGAAACTAAGATCTCACTAAAAATGAGGTCATCTCAGGGAGCTGAGAAAACTGATTCAAATAAAGACCGAGTCATACCGAATGAAAAGTCCGAGAAGAGTTGTACACATACTACAGTCCCTACCAGAAAGTTCTTAAGATGATTGCATCGCCTTCACCTGTCTGATCAGCTGAGTCGTGTCTTTTATCGAGCAAAGCGCGGTGGAAGAAGTCAGCGACGAGGAGACAGCTGAGAAACAGGGTGAGGTGTATCATCTTCCACCAAATGAGCGAAAAATACTCATGGTTCAACGGATCTTACAGATTGAAGATATGAGGGATCCACAGTGGCTTCGCCACAGCATATTCTACATCACTTTATAATTTATCATGATTTTATTCTATTTTTTTAATTAGCAATTTTAATTGATTATAAATCTTTGTAGCCTTGTAGTCAATTAATTTTTTTAAAAAAAAGATACTCATCAATTATATATATATATATATAT